TGGTGAAGTTTAGCCTATTGGGAAACCTGGTCTGAAGTCTAACGGATTGGGAGAAAGAGTAGCTGGTGCCCCAGGGATCACCAGGGACACACCTTATATTCAGCCCACAGTAACAAGACTAATTCCAGACCACACTCTCCCCACCTTCCTTCGGGTCTTCCTTAGCTCAGGAACCTGGTGGGACAGGAACCACTGGGAAGGAGACCCAGCACTTGCAGCTGACAAGGACTAGGGAAGTCCAGGGATGACTGTAAGAACTGGCCGAGTCAGGAGAAAATTCACACTGTGGGATCCCTGAGCAAGAGTCTGCTGTCTCACCCTGTCAAGAGGGCTTCCACCGTTATGAGTCAATTTCTGGTAGAAAATTAACAGCTGGAGAATGAGTGGGGAGGGTGAGGCAAACCATCTGGCTTTGTGAAGCCAGAGCAGCTGGGCTGAAGAAACCAAGACAGACAGAAGACAGCAGAAGCTGGGAATATTATGGGTAAGAAGCAGTGTCTGGAACTGTGCTGCCCAATATAGCAGCTGCTGTCCACATTTGGCTATGTAATTTTAAATTAATTAAAATAAATATATTTGAAAACCCATCCTTGGCTGTACTAGCCACATTTCAAACATGCAATAGCCACAGGAGGCTACATTACTGCCAGTACACATGGAACATTGCAGAAAGTTCTATTAGATAGAGCTGGTCCAGAGGCCTTACTTCATCCCTTACGTTTGAAATGCCTTTGGACCCTAATGTGTTCTACAACATGAAGGTCCTGAGGCTTCAGCTCCTCTTATTCAAGAAAGCTGGGGTACCAGGAGGGTCAGTGAGGGATTTTCCTTTGGTTCTGTTGACCTTTCTGGACCATTCTCAGGCTGGAAAAAAGCTGAAAGGGGAAGCCAAGGCTTTGATCATGGGGAGCTGCCAGGGTCAAATCCCCTGCAGTAAACTCCCCTGGAAGATATACTGAGTGGGCAGCAGCCAAGGGGAAGGAGGTACATCTCAGCAACAGCAGACCTGCTTCTTCATCTCTTCATGACCCATGTGAAAGTTTACAGGGAACAAAGGAGTCAGGAGCCTTTCACTGCGATGACTCCTACCTTTCTGGGCAAACCGACTTCTGCTGAGGAGGACAAGCCTGGAGCCTCTTCCTCTCTCCTCCCCTCCTCATTGTGCTTGCTGCGTCATTGTCAATAGCAAATCCCAGGCAGCCACGTGATATCATCTCCCCTTCTGGTACTAAAACCTGTAGCTAACAGTGGAGTATCTGTGATCAGGTTCTTTCCTCTCCCTCAACGGTGATGTCAGAGCTGCCCAAATGGGCTGAAGCCTTAGAACAACCCAGGGTCATTCTATTAGTCACCAGGATGCTGGTGGCTCCACTTTCATCTGCCATTCTCACCTTGGGTAAAGTCCAAACTGAAGTTTTCAATGGGATTGTACTGAATCTGTGGATCAGTTTGAAGAGAAATGATATGTTTATAATACTGAGTTTTTCAATTCATGAACATGGTATCTTTCTCAACTTAGTTGTCTTTAGTTCCTTTCTATGAAATTTTATAGTTTTCTCTGTAGAAATCTTAAACATTTTTGGTTAGATTCATTCCTAGGCATTAGATATTTTTCAGTGCTTATTATCTTAATTTTTTTTCTGTCTTTGCTGATGCATTTCAGTTCATTATAGAACAGTCCAGTTATTTAGTACCTTCAGACAATTATAATCAAGACTTTTCCATGCTGACCAACTTGGTCCTACACATTCAGGTAGGACCCAGATACCATTCAGTGTCTCCAAGTATCTTCTACTTTAGATCCTTCTACAAAGGATCTCCTCTGGCTTGCTAGTAGGTGTGGAATCAATACTACTATTACCTACTGCATTCTCTTCAGACATCACCATAGATACCTGAGATGGGGGACTGAATTGCTCTTAACGGGTTTATATTCACCCATAGTTTTTGGTGTGTTTGGAATAGAGTGTCAACTTAAGGAGTGGGGCAGTTGGATTTAGAGCAGGGATTTACTTGAGTAAATGCATTTTCTGTAGTGTGGTGAGGAGAACAGAAATGAAGAACTTGGCAACATTAATCACCATGAAGACAATGAAAGGACAAAGCAAGAGATAGAAAGTGATCAGCCAACTTGCCGACCAACCAACCAATCACAGACACTGAAAGGATAGAGAAGAAAAGTCAAGCAGTGAGAACTTCAGGTAACTTCTCCCTGGCTGCAATTGATGCCAGTCTTCTATACCCTTGCTACCTAACTGTCCTTTCACACCCAATGCTTATAAGTGCAGACTCATTCATATCATAGATAAATGATCATTCTAGTGAAATAAAATGTGCTGAAGAGAATCTCAGTTAATGGTGAGTGTTCTGAATTGCAGGTCACTGTTAGAAGCCACTGGTTCTTAGGCCACATCCAGCCAGATATTTCTACCAGGGCTTCAAGTTGTTTCTGGTTTGATTTTCTGCCTGAAAATTTGGAGGATGCTTTTCCTGGAGTCTATTCCCTAAATTAAGAACATAGCTTAATGAGAAACTAGGGCACCTTGTTCTCTTCAAGTCTCCTTCCAACTGGTCAAACTTCCTTGCTTGGCCAGCCAGGTACAGTGACCCTTACCCCTCTTATCACCAGAAGTTCTTTTTGAGGTATTCACAGAAAATATCCATTTTCCTTTCAATTTACACCACAGATTGACCCTGGCATGTGTGAAATGCGATTGACCCCAGGACAGCTCTCTTATTCCTTTGGGAAAAGTTTCTCTTATTTTAGTCCATCTTCTCATCATAGAAAACTAGGGATTGAGGCAACTAGGAGTTGCTCTATAGGTTAGACCACCTCAGGTAACTACTTCCTAGAAAATGGCTTACTCCTTGATCTGTAGGGTTTAGGTAAGGGTGTCTTTCAGGCTGAAGCCTCTACAGGGATCCCTTTCATTTGCCTGCTTAGGGCAGGTTTGCTTAATACATCTCCTGTACTTATGAGATATAATTCAGAAAGTCCAATGCAGGGTTCTACAGACTGCATCAGACACCATCAGAGACACATCTGAGTCAATTGTGGAATGACTCAAGGCTTTGAAATATTTAAACCATATGTCTCATGAAACTAGGTGAAAACAATGCCAGTTTCCCTACTAGAGGCTGTCATCTGAGACTGCAGCTCAACTTGGCAATGATCTTGCATTCCCAGCCTCACTGGTCACGTTGCTGTGGGCTGTGAACCTGTCAGTACTGCTGAGCCACGTGGTTTGGAATAGGACCATAGGTAAGCAGAGGTACTGTGGACCTCATGGAAGGTGGCCAGGGACATTTAGGGGTCTTCTCTAGGTCAGGACAATATTTATGTTCCTGAATAGGACTGGACTTGGAAGGGAAGTGAAAAGAGTATATTTGCTGCCCTGGAGGAGGTAGGAAACACCATTATTTTCACCAAATGACATTTATTAGGAGTCTTATTCTCTGAAAATTAGCCAAGATCCCCAAACATTCTTTGAGAGAAGGAATCAGTATTGCAAGATTATTCTCTGTGTTATCTTGGAAGTCAAGTCTCTCAAAGGTTGTTTCCCTCTTTCTGAAAAGTGCTCAGCAGAGCACCTGACATGGAAGATGCTTGCTTGTCACAGTGGAAATAACATCAACTATAAAGTCAGAGGCACCAGATTCTATTCCCAGTTCTACCACTTAATAATGGTGTAATTAATCTTACACTTAATTGCTCTGAGCTTCACTTCCTTCTTCCCTAAAATGAGGATGCTAATACCTTTCTTATGAGGGTGTTTTGAGGATTATGTGCAATGAGGTATGTGTAGCACATGGTAGGTTATTCAGAAATGTTAGCTGAATTTTAATTCAAAGAAGATGACATCTTGTTAAATGAATACAGATCTAATAGCCAAGGAGCACCCCCTACACCCTGCTCCAATTAATCCCAAGACAAGTAAAAATTTGAATAAAAATGGAATATGTGGACAAGGACTTTTCCTTTTTGTCTCTTTTTGATGTGTTGTATCTGTAAAAACTAGTACAGGAGCGTGGGAGAAGGCTCAAAAACCTGGAGAGGTTTCCTCAAGTCTGGAGCCATATGATTCTCTTAGAACCACCTCTTTCCTTCTTATTGCTCTCCAAAAGGGGTTGTGGTAGCCAGGGGAGCCACTGAGTTGCTGCTATACCCTCCGTCAGGAGCACCTGCCCATGTTGTGAATCCCAGGCCAGTGGATGCCAGTGATTCTGACCTGTCTTCAGCGGTGGAAGATGGTGGGTGCAAGTCAGTTTACTCCTCCATTATCCAGGAGAAGGGAGTGGGGCTGTTTAGGGAGGGCAGAGAGGATCCAAGGTGACAGGAAATCCAACCTTCCCTACCCTGCCTCATTCAGCCAATGGTTCTAATATTTCTTCCAGCCTTTTTTCCTAGAAGTTGCTTATAATGTCTGCTTATCAGACATCTGCCCTTCCTGTACTGGAAAGTGCAAAGGAACAATAATGTAGCCTCTGAGGAGGGGAACAGGAAGTCCCCATAGGGAGGAACGCTGAACCCTGAGCAAAGGAAACCTGGGCTGAGCTTGGTGCAGCTGATGAAATGAGAGAAGAGTCGAACAGCGGTCTGAGTGAATCTGGGGGGCTGGTGGTGAAGAGGTTTGGTTTGCCAGTTGGTAGGCATAGCTTCTTCTAGATTATGTGCTGGAGAATGAGGGTGGAGACAGGGTGGGAAAGGGGAGAAGAAGGACCATCATCTGCCTCCTTGGAAGAAGAGGCTTAGCTCAAGGAGGAATCTGTTTCCTCCTTACCCCCCAGCCATGGACTAGAGCAGACTCTATCTCAAGTTGTTGTTCTGGTCCAACTCCGGGTAGGTTTAGGAGTTGCAACATTTGTCTTCCAAGAACATGGGGTCTTTCACTGATTAGTTTTGCCCCTCACTCTCCTTCTTTCAATACTCGTACTGTTTACTCCCCTTCTTCTCTGTCCCTCTGGTGCCTGTAGACCAGACATCTTTTTAAGAGGCCTACCTTGGGTTTGAAGGCAATGAGCTTCAGAATCATCTCCACAGTGAAGAGGCCGGTGAAGAGCATGTTGAGGATGTTCATGGCGATTTTGAATAGGCAGCTCTGGCCATAGTGCTGAGGGGAAGGGAAAGACTGTAAAAATGAGGTGGGAACATCCTTTCTCTTCACCATCCTCCTCTCAATAGAGATCTTCCTTGAACCAAAACCTGGAAGGCCATTCACATCTCCTTGGGCAGTAAGGTGGACTCAGGAAATCTTGCAAATTCTCCCCTTCTCTGCTAGCTCTGAAAACGCATTTTGGCAGAGTTCTATGATCCTGCTTTGATTGGTTATGACAACTTTATGGAGACTTGTGGTTCAAGAGAACTTAAACACAAGTTGATTTCCCTGAAGACAGGTGGATATAGAATCAACCTTTACACCCATGCCTCACTGACAATAATGAACTCTTCAAGCTCCCCTTCTGTTCTCCATTTCCTTCACTCTAAATGTTTTCTTAACTCAAGCTCCTATGGATTCTTTCAGAAGGCGCCAGAGAGAAGCTCATCCTTGAAAGGGACACTTATCTTTCTCCATCTGGGGAAAAGGACAGTTCTGTTCTTTCTGACTCCCTTGGCCAATATGAAGGGGACAGGCTGAAGACAGCCAGGCAGCTCTTCTACACTTCATATCCTCTCCTAATATTCTTCCTCTTGCAGGCATCATGGATCCAGGGCCCCCCTTGAACTGACCTGCATGGCCAAGCAGATGGTGTTGAGCAGGATGAGGACGAACATCAGGTATTCAAAGTAGGTGGAGTTGACCACATACCACACTTTGTACTGGTGCTGGTTCTTGGGGATGTACCTCCGCAGGGGCCGGGCCTTGAGGGCATACTCCACACACTGTCGCTGGGAGGGAGGCAGCAGGAGGGGTGGGGTGGGAATGGAGAGAAGGGGTTAGTAACCTGGATGATGTGTGTGGGGATGGCAGAGGAGAGTGGGATGTGGATGAAACTATATACCTTGGGAGTCAGAGAAATAATCTACTGCTCTGGCTCATTTACAGGTTTGAGATATTATTTGGACTCTTAAAATTTTTTTTCTGTAACTCCTTTAATGAAGGAAAGCATTGTCTCTAGTCAGTCTCCCTACCAAGACTTAGTCAAGGAGTTTGTGTCTCATTACTTGGTAATGCCTGGTATGCTGCCAACACTTAGTTGGCATTTGATAAATACTGAATGACAGTTTGTCTTCCCATTGGTTATTTCTTATGCCACAGACGCTCCTTGGGGCACTTCTCAACTTTGTCTCCTATCCTAAGTCAATCTTCCTTATTTACCCATGTCCACAAGATCAGAAGACATAGTCCGTGGTTAGGGGAGAAGATCTTAGGCTAACTACATTCCTGAGACTCCAGAACAGATTTGGTTCATTTCTATGCACTGTGCCCAGATTCCTATGTCAGGAACTGGGGAGTTAGTCCAGCCTCTTCATTTACTCTCAGCCTTCACACCCAATCTCTAAGCCAATTTTATTTCCCCCACCTCCACTATCATTAACGTGATAGTAGATGAGGGTCTAATCATCTTTCATCTATACTTTCTAATTGGCCCCTTCTTTTCGGTCTTACTTCCAAACCAAAGGCCATATAGCAGCCAGAATGACAGGTCTAAACCCAAGATGTTGACATCAAAGTCCATGAGGAGTCCAGATGGCCTAACTGGTGTAGAGCTGAGTGTCTTGTGCTATGTGCCTTCCCATACGAGACCTTAAGTCACTCACACACAGGGATATAACTCTTCCTTACTCACCCCATTGAGGAGTCTAGCTAGGGAACTGACCTCAGTCACAACATGCTGCAGTCCACTGTAACAGCTTCATTCCTCACTGATGGAGTTGCCAGCTTTCTCAACGGCCAACACAATACCTTACAGTTCTGGCATTACCATATTATTCCTACTGAAGCTTCTTTCTTGTCCCCATCTCATGCACAGGCCTCTGTGTTTTACTTAAATCTTTTAAGAGTGGTTTTCTAAAGCCCTTCTCTTCCCCACCCCCCAAACCCTCACTGCCTCATTGCTCTAGTTTCTTTCTTCATTATCGATGTGCCAATCCATGTGGGCACTTTCTAACTTATCAACTTCTAAGAGATAGGGTGTGAGGTTTTTTCCCACAGCATGTATCACAGAGTCTCCTTAAGTATGTGCTTAACAAATATTTGTTGCCTGAATGCATTTGTCAGATTCAGGATTTGCAGTGATTTGCATTTCTTTTGTCTGGGCCCTTCCAGAAGACTGACAGCCCTATTCCCTCCTTGAGGAGCAGACAGATGATCTTAGTATCTGCATAGATCTCTCTCCTGACCACAGCCTCTCTTCTGGGCAGGCCACAGGCTGACAACAGCTGTCATTTCTCCTGTAGTCCTATTCTCCACCCAGCCCTGCCCCCTGTTTCTCTCCTTCCTAGGAAGCTACCTGGTTCTTGTCCAGCTCACAGTTCTTGTATTCCTGCTCCCCCTGCTCCTGGAAGGTGACGATGACGAAACCCACGAAGATGTTCATCATGAAGAAGGCAATGATGATGATGTAGATGATGAAAAAGATGGAGATCTCCACACGGTAGTTGTAGATGGGGCCCTTGTCTTCTGTGTGGGAGTCGATGGAGCGGTACAGCAGCCTGCAGGAGGAGACAGGCCCCAGAGGGAACCGGAGAAGCAGTGTCACCTCTGTGGAATGACAGCACCACTGCTCCTAAGGATTCTCAGGATCAGGGGTGCTGGAAACAGCTCTAGGCTGGGAGTCAGAAGATCTGGGTTCAAGTTCCAGCTCTGCCACTTACTGGGGTGGGACCGTGGGCAAATCACTTAACCTCTTTGAGCCTCAGATTCTTTATCTGTAAAATGGAGACAATAATTCCTGACTTTCCTACCTGGCAGAGTAGTTGATATAATGTATACAAGGGTGTTTTGAAACTGTCAAGAATTTGTAAAATGAGTCATGGACATTGCTTTCAAATACTGGAAACATTAGTAAATATTGAAACAGCTTTGCAAACTGGCATAGGCTAAGAGGATGTTACCGTGAATATAAAATAAATCTATCTGAGAGCAAATATCCATTTAGATAAAAATATTAGGTAAAAATGACCCAAGCTTATTCAGATCATCAACAATGGTTTGGGTTTACAGTCAGGTAGTTTACATGTGTATGCCATTCATTTGGGCCCAGACTACATGCCCATTAAGGTTGTTTCTCTTCATGGACAGGGAATATTTCCTCTCTTTCCCTTGTTACACTGCACAGTATGTGGTTATTCTCTAGGTATCATCTATATTTTACCATATAATGATGGTGACTCTCATCTAAGATCCATGTGCTGTTACTGACTTAGAAATATTTAGAATTTTCTTCCTTTTAGATGATAATTTCCCTGGAGTACACTGGGTGCGGAGGATGGGGAAGCAGGTGTCTATACAAAGATATATGGAACACCTGATGCACAAGCTGCCTGGTAGAGGTGATACGGTGTAAAAGGTCAACGAGGCTGGTGTAGGCATGATCTCTACAGAGGAATTTGGACCCAGGCTTCCATCCCTTTCTTACTTTTCACTGTAATTATAAACAAGGCTTTTTCTAAGGAGACTGAGGTAGAGTCTAAAGCAGATACCTCTGCCACCTCTACCCACATTGAACACATGTTGGGATCAGTAATCTTGAATCCTGTGGTGATCTAAGGCTCATACCTAGAGAAACTCACCCCATTCCTAGATGCCATGAGAGTAATGACAAAGACCCCTATCATTGTGGCTCACTCTGAGGTTAGGAAGGGGAGCTAAAAGAAGATCATTTTTGTTTGGAATTTCTGAAATGTTGACATCTTCTAGAAAAAGAATAGTCTATGTTTCAGCAGTGACCATGGTATGCAAACTCCCATAGTTTGGGAAGGACACAGGTAAGCATGACCTCTGGAAAGGAGTGTGGGACAATAATAAACCTTGGGGAATGGCTTGGCCTCTAATATCAGGGTGCACAGGCTGTGATTTGCATACTCACTCTGGCCACCCCTCAAAGGTGGAGACGGTAAAGAGGGCCATCATGGCCGCCAGAACATTGTCAAAGTCAAACTTGCTGTTCTCCCAGCTGCGGGGCTGGATGATGGGGTGGTCAACTTCCCCATCCTTGTATGTGATGTAGTTACCCCTGAGAAAGAAGGAAGAGTTAATTCTTGGGTTTCTCACCTCCCTTCACACCTGACCTATCAATGACTCCTGGCTTGCTGGGTAGGATGAGACTGGCTAGGGTTAAACCTCATTTAAGCACTAGCCATTGGGAAGAACGTTAGTGACCAGACCTTTTAAGAACAGATACTCTTATACGTCATGTCAACAGTATCACATTACCCAAGGGTAAAAGTCCAGCTGTCAGTGCTATCTGAGAAAGAATGGTCTGTCCTTCCTCTCAGGCCAAGTCACCAACCTCCCAGAGTTAACTAGCCTTGGTGCTGGCTGCCCTCTAGCTTGTACTTACTTGCACTCCGCCTCGGTCTGTTTGGAACTATCTGAACAGGTATAGAGCTTTCCCTGGAAGGCAGAAGAACAAAGTGATTGGAGATGTTCATTAATCAATGAATCAGTCAAGAAATGATTAATGATTATGTCTATAGCCCAGCACTGTGCTAGGAACTTGGGACAAAAAGTGCAAGGAGAGCAGAATCTAACAGGGAAGACATGAGTCACACATACTAAGCAGTCAGTGAATAAAGATGCTCAGTGCTGCAAGTACCACTGACATTTTTTAAAAATGGGGGGAATTCCACTCCATGAGAACTGGACTCTTTTGGCTAGCTTAAGGAAGGTGAAAGTGGAACAGGTCTCAGAGGGACAAATTAGACAGAAGGAAATCAGGCAGAGAGGGCAGGGGGAAGAACGGTTCAGAAATTAAAGGATTAAGGCAGAAAGAGCAAAGAAAGAGCCAGCTTCATTGTAGCCAGGGGGTGCCTTGTCAGGAAGCAAAGAACCTGGATGGACGTGGCGTTCTGAAAGCTAGCTGGAGAAGGGTGGATTTGATGCTGTCGATAATAGGGGACAGCTGTGGGGGTTTAAGCAGGTGACTTGCACAAGGCTTCAGAGGATAAAAGTCCCTCTCCCTTTCTTGCTAGAAGGAAGGGCAAGGATCAGAAGGGCAGGTTGTGCTGCAAGGCCAAGGGGTCCTTGGCCTGGTGGAGAGTCCTCCTTCCTGGTGGGGGAAGCTGAGGGGAGGGTGTTTGGAGGTTCCACTCATCCCAAGTCTGACCCAGGCTGCTGTCATCTTTTGGGTGTATCTGCCAGCAATCTTTCTCAGGCACGCTGACAAGAGGGGAAGGAGGAAGTAGCACAGATCAGAGCTGGGCTGTTACCTTGAAAAGCTGGACCCCAATGCAGGCGAACATGAACTGGAGCAGCGTGGTGACAATCACGATGTTCCCTATGGTCCGGATGGCGACAAACACGCACTGGACCACGTGCTGTGGTGGGAAGGGAAGACAGGGGGGCAGGTTTCAGGAAGTGCCTGCAGACTGAGCTTTCTTTAGCCAAGGCATGAGCCTCTCAGAGGGAGAGGCATGGGCAACCCCTTTGCCACCAGAGGGAATATAATGACTCAAAGAGGCAAAGCATCTTCCCAGGTTCACACAGTGATGGGATCCAATGGACTCAAAGTCCCTTGTTGGGCTCTAGGTGACAATAGGGATAAAAGCCCTGTTAGCTTCCCATTTTATAGGTATAAGAATATGGGTTCCTCATCTGCATGTGGGGGCTCTGGGTTTGTGTGTGTGTCTCCTTTATGCAAAAGTTTTGCTTAGAAGTTCTGATTTTGTTTTCTCTTTTAAGTTTATTTAGTTTGAGAGAGAGAGAGAGAGAGAGAGAGAGAATCCTAAGCAGGCTCCAAATAGCTTGGCACGGAGCCTGATGGGGGGGCTCGAACTCATGAACTGTGAGATCATGATCTGAGCCAAAACCGAGTCAGACACTTAACTGACTGAGCCACCCAGGTGCCCCTAAAAGTTCTGATTTTGAATGGCTGCCTATCCTTGTTCTCTTCACCTTGAAGTGGGACTGGAGGTGCAGACAGGAGAGTCCAGGCACCAACACAGCAGCCATTTGCTCCAGCCATTTCCCCTCCCTCCAGCCCCCACCCCACCCCCTTGCCTCACTTAACTTCCCCCAGTCCACAGCTGGGTTGATGCTTGCTCTGCTGATGGCTCCCCACTTAGGCCCATCCTTCTCACCTTTAGCCCCTTGGCCCTGTTGATGGCCCTCAGGGGCCTGAGGACTCGCAGAACTCTCAAGATCTTCACCACATTGATTGCACTGGACCTGGGAGAGAGAAACAGGGCAGGGGAGTAAGCTTTTGTTGTGGTGGAGCAGGAAATAATGTGGTGAGGGGGTGTCCTGACAGGCTAACTCCAGGCAAACATGAGAAAGTGTAAAGTCTGTTTTGGGGACTTTCTCATCCTGGGACCATTCTCTACTCCCATCTCCCACCCTACAAGAGTCTTGAATTTGCCTGTGGCCCTGAGACTTCCTGGTGGTGTGTAAATAATATGAAAAGCAATTTACCATAAGTCATTAGCAATATAATGTGCTACTCAGAGAAGCTTTAGTAAAGAAAAGAGAAACCCCAGCTCTGTCACTTAACAGCCAATTCACAGAGGATAAATTCCCTAATTTTTTCATCTGTACAGTGGACCTCATAAATTGTTGCAGGGATTAAATGAGGAAGCAGTATCTGCACCATTTGCAGTATGCATAGCCCATATTATGAACTGAATAAATAGTAGCTTTTATTATTATGTCTGATGAAGACATCACTGAACTTGAAGAAATGCTATACAGATGGTGGAGCTTCAGGCCTTTGTTGGCTGGAGATGACAGGCTTGGGAGGAGATATTCTGGTGTTGATCTCCAGGTAGTTGCCCATTACACACATATATAAAACCCACTGATTCATAACACACTCAGGACTTGAAGGAATGGATTCTACACAAAAGGTGCCACATGCCTGAATGCTAGAGCCTGGCCAGAATTTCTGGGAGCCTCAGGCTTTTGCTGTTTCCCAGTGGGAATGAGGCACTAGGGTGCAGTTCTCCCCACAAGTCCCTTAGCAGGAAGCCTGCATGGTTTCTGGAGTTATTCATCCATCCAGGTGGGCTCTATCTCAACCCTCACACACTACCCATCTGATTGAGATATCCTCGCAAGCTTTCAGAGAGACTTGTACTCATCTTGGGACCTAACAAAATGTATGACACATCAGCATGAGGTCAGGATAATGTGCTCAGGAGGGAGCTGGTAGAAAGATTTGATTTCTCTGGTTCATGGCTCTTTTATTCCAAAGGATTCAAAGGGCATTCCTAGTTATACCAGTATCTCAGGGAGGGAGTCTGTTTGCACTGAATGGCAATGGAAGGGATTTTAAGGTCAACGGGGAAAGCACAGACTAAAAGCGGAGTGGTTCTTGGTTCAAGGTTAAGCAGCAGTTTAGTGGTAGTGCTGGGATTAGAATCTAGACCTGTAGGTTCCCAGGCAGACAGCTGGGATAATATAACTGATGATCACAGAGAGGGTCTCACTCGTTGCTCCTATGTCCACTCTTTCTAGGCTTACCATGAAAACACCCTTGGGAAAGAACACCCAGGACCCCTTTCCTCCACCATTGGTATGACCTTGGGCATATCTCTTGTCCTGAACCTCAATCTTCCTATCTATAAAATGGTGGTAACAGTCTGCCCTGCCTGCAGCTTTTTTTGTGAGGACCATAGAAGACTGTGCATGTGAAAGGGCTTTCAAGTTGAAGGCAGGCTTAATGTTACCAGCATATAAAACTTGGGAGAAACTAGTAATTGGATCCTTTTAAACCTGAGCAAATTGACAACCTTGGTTGTATGGTGGACTCACCTGGAGAGCTTTTAAAACTCCTAAAGCCCAGGCTTGTACCCCAGACCAATTAAATAAAAACTGGGGCAGAGGGATCTAGGCAAATGTCTTTCCTGAAACTAGTCAGGTGATTCCACTATTTAGTCAAGACCGAGAATCTGTAATTCCTCTCTTTCTCTGTCCTCCACCCTCTTCTTCTCATAGGTACTTTGACTGGAGAGAGAAAGGGAGGAAAGATGGATTAGAAAATCAGGGCTGGTCATGGCAATGGAGGGCCCTTGTTGCTGAGGGTAGACAATGGCACTGGGCACATAGTGGAGGAGACAGGAAGGCCCTGGAGGTATTCTTCTCATTATAACTGGGCCTGGCCCTGCCTGCCATGCCAAGATCCAGATATTTTAAACATATTCTGGCTGGATGGACATGCCACCAAATGTCACACCATTGAGGACGTGGACAAAAAGCCATCATGCTGTAGAAGTCAGGATCCCCACCCTGTTCCTGTCATGGTCACACTGGTAGCCATGCAGAAATGCCCTCCAGAGTCTTGGTCTCCCTCTATGACACTCATTTCTAGTTGTGCACCCCCATCTTGGGCTGAGGGAGTCCTACTCACTGGATGCCAAAGGAGATGAGGGACACGCTGACCACCAGCAGGTCCAAGATGTTGAAGTAGTTCCGGCAGAAAGAGCCCTTGTGTAGAAAAGCCCCATAAGCAGTCATCTACAGGGAGGCACAGAGAAACAGAGCATGAGTGGTCCCTGCCCAAGCCTCAGAGACCCCCTCATGCCTCCCTCTCCTCCCACAGCATCCTTTGGGCAGGGCAAGCTGAACAGCAGTGAAGAGGACTGGGGGCAGGCAGGGTTGCAGAAAGAGAGGCAGGGCCAAGGACAGCATTCTGCAACCATTTATATAATCACAAAAACAATTCTCAACTCAGGATGGTTAAGTGGCTCCTTCCACTTACTAGACCACACTAGACTCTGTATTTGAAGCCTTTTCAGACGGGGCCCTGCCATCCGCCTCTCATTTTCCACTGTTCCTTATCACAGGTCCCTGGAGCCCTTTGCTGACACAGCCCAGACCAGATTTCCCTTTGAATGCAAACATCTCAACCTCCTCTCCAAATTCTATCAACCTCCAGGGCCAGTTTAAGATACTAGGCATCTGGGGAAAGGTGGGGCATGGTTAGTAGTGTGACCAACAGTCCTGATTTTCCCAGGATTCCTGTTTTGGTACTGAAAGTCCTGTGTCCCACTTGGGCAACTCCTCAGTCTTGGGTAAACCCAAATCTTGGTCATCCTAGTGCCCATGAGAAGTTCTACCAATACCTTTGGCAATTAGCATTCTTCTACTTCCTAACCTTAATTAGTGTTTATGATCTATGCCAAATATTGTAAACTCAATTCTATTATCTTTCCTTCAGACTGATGTTCTTTAATGTCTGAGCTGTTTGAACACACAGAGGGGCACTGTGGTACCACTGTTAGGAGCATAGGCTCTGGAGCCAGGCTGCCTGAGTTTGAATCCCAGCTCTATCATATTTTGTTTGTACAGCCTGGAGCAAGTTACTTAACTTCTTTGTATCTCTTTTTCCTCATCTGAGAAATGAGAGTAACGATAATATTTATCCTCCAGGATTATAGGCATCAAATGAGTAAAACACTTACTGTCATCATAGAGAACTAAACTTGAGGCCAGATAGATTGGATTTGAATTCTGGATTCTTCCTACGTAAGGATGTTTAGTTTCCTCATCTACAAAGTGGGCATACTATTCCTTGTCCTTGTGAGGCACACATAGAAAGGCAATGTGGAGGTCCTTTGAAGACTAAAATGGGAGCACATGGGATGGTGATTATTGTTACAGGACTTGGCTATTATTACCTCTCTCTGAGCTCAGTATAAAGTAACTATAGATGCTCAACAAATAGCCTTTCCAATTCTTTTGACTTGAATTAAGAGCCAGTGGATTTCCAGGTTAAGGGTTGTGAAAGGCCATGGGCTGTGATGCATCAGCCAAAGGGAACAGTTTGGAGCCGGTGGCTGAGAGACTGAGAGCGACTCCCTGGTCATCTGGGGTCCAGTTTATCTCTTTGGAATCAGAGCGTGCCCAGGGCAACATGTCCGCAGAGCAATTCAAAAGCAAACACAGAGGGAGCTGGCAAAAATAGCTCTTGCAACCTAATTCTTTCCATTTATCTCTTCCTGCAGGGGGTCACAGGGGACTCAGGCACCTGTGTCCTGCAACAGTTTCTAGAAGTGGGTATATTATGTAAAAGGTTGCAGGGGAATATAGTTAGAGATTTCTCCTGAAGGCCTGCCATCTGGAGGGGCTTACTGTCTTGTCTCTCAGTGAAGATTTAGGAGGGGCTTGCTGTTCTGTCTCTGAGTGAAGATCTAGGACCCCAGGGACTAGACCTGGTTGGCTCCTTCAGTTCACTTAACCAAAGTGCCTCTGTACCTGCAGAAGGCCGAGCACCTTTCCTAGCCATTTGCTTTTAGTTTCAGAGAAGGCATTGAGTCTGATCCTGCCTCACTCTTGTTTTAGAAATTGTGAGGACATTACTGAGCACCAGACAGCCCTCCACGGTCAGGTAAGAGCACTCCTTGAATAGGTGCACTAGTGGGGTTCACAGTGTCAATGTCTGTCCTCCGATTTTGGGGTCCTATTTGTCAGGGGACCTAGGATGAGGCCAGCACTCCAGAAAGTGTGTGTGTGTAAGGGGTGGGAGGCACATGCCCAGGCAGGGCCAGCTGAAGAGTGGCCATAGGAGAAAGGGTAACTGGACGCCAAAATATGGAGCATTTATTGAAAATTATCCTAGGCCTTTAAGACAACAGAAAAGACCAGGTTCAGGTACTCAGTGTAAAGTGTCCCTTTAAAACCTTGTTTTGCTGATGGCTACCCACTCAGTTCTTGCTTCCTAAAAGTTCCTAAGCCATTGCATAGGAAAAGCCTATTACTGGGGTATTTTCAGCCTCAGAGAAGAAAAAAGGTGGTCATGAGATTGCTGACTCTCTGAGCTGGAAACGCAAAAAGCCGCTCTGTCCAGTCACAGGCGTCCACTGTCTCCCCAGGCAGCTCTTCTAGTTACTAGATGTATCCTGTAACTTGTACTCACTGCTGTGCCCAGTTCACTTCCTCCCTTCTCTATATGTATTCAGGCCAACAGTCATGGTTCTATAAGCCTTTTCTTCTTAAGGCCAAATATCCCCAGGTCTTTCAACTGTTCTTGACACTAACTGCCTCTTGGATGATGAGACCATTGTTGTCTGTGCCATGGGAGGAAGCTGAGCCTTCAGGCAAGGCAGAGTGGCCCAGTGGAAGGAGGTGCAGGGAAGTGGGGTGGGGACTAAGCTTTATATTTAGAAGCACACTGAGTATCAAAGGGAGTAAAAGAGGGAGAGGGTGAAGGGAGGGAAGGCTCTTGCCATGACAATGCTTGCAAAGAGATCTTTCGCTTCTGTTCGCAAGGCAAACTTGAAGGATAATCGGCACCACTGAAATCCACAAGGGAAGCTCTGTGAAGGGGTCCTGAGAACTGGGCCTCAGAGCTTTTCTTATCCTAGGAAAGAGTTTTGGGTATTCATGTGCCCCCTGAGTCTGAAGTCCAGAACTCAGTCCACCATGGAAAGGGGTTTCACAGAGTGCATCTTAAGGCAGCCAGGCAGCTCTTGGCTCCCTTTCTCCACCCCCAGGGATCAGGGCCTGATCAGATCCACTGTCCTTGAGTAGAAGAGGAAACCTGAGGAACTCCCTTGGTCGCTTGAGCCAGGGACAGAAGCTGGAGATCTGGACAGCTCAGCCTTTGGGGATAAGGACACAGTGGAGGCACTCAAAACTGCCCCACTCAACTTGTATCTGGATGTGACAAAACTGTCATGTACATTAAAGGTCTGGGTCATGACTTAGAAGTTGCATCAGGAAAAGAAGGGTCCAGGGGCGCCTGGGTGGCTCAGTTGGTTGAGCATCTGACCTCAGCTCAGGTCATGATCTCATGGTCTGTGAGTTCAAGCCCCACGTCGGGCTTTGTGCTGACAGCTCAGAGCCTGGAGCCTGCTTCAGATTCTGTGTCTCCCTTTTTCTTTCTGCCCCTCCCCCATTCATGCTCTGTCTCTCTCGGTGTCTCAGAAATGAATAAATGTTAAAAACAATTATAAAAATAAAAGGAAAGGAAGGGTCTGCAGCCTGGATGTGGCACATGGTCAGATGTGGACAGCTGCTCACATCAGCCCCAGGGAGTGGGGAAAGGGAGCATTGACTCCTTGGGAGGAGGAGTCCCAGGTGAGTCTCCCAGGAAGAAAACACCAAGCTGAAGAATATGCTTTAGAGCCTACAACCCTCCTGTTTGGGGTAAATGAGAAGAAAGCAAATACTGAAATGTACTTTTCCTGGATCTTAGAACTAATATCCTGAGTCTCAGATGGAGTGGCTTGGCAATGCATTGTTTTAGAGGCTCAGAAGTATACTGGAAAAATTTTAAAAAAATAATAAAATAAATATAAATAATATATTAATTATAAATTAATAGAAGAAATAAAATAAAACTTAGAAAGCAATCTCTCTCATCTCAGTGCTTTCAGAGGTAGGCTCCACTGATGGGGTAGGTCTATAGCAGTTCTGCCATCAGGGGCCAGTAGCACCTGGGGCCACTAGCCACAGGCAAGGCCAGCTCCATGTGCTCTCAGGACTGGGGCTTGGGACCTGGTTCTTCTTTCAGCTCTTGGTTCTCACCCCCACTGTGTTTAGCTCTCCAGTACAATTCCCCCTCCTCCATGCTTAGGAAAAGGGGCATCGTAACAAGGCTTTTCAGCAGAAAACCAAGGATTCAGAAGTAATCTATAGTTGTCTGTTGAAAGCTCCCAATGGAAGACTGGCCCAAAATCTTGCATTAATTAGGCCCATGATTCCTATCACACCGGCCTATCTGCAGCCTGGCCCTGGTGCTTGCGACCAGTATGGAGGAAGATGTTGACCAGGGCTGTCCAAAGGGCATAGACAAAGTGATTTCCCATGCTCCATGAGCTTTTCCACTCTTGGAGTTTGTGCAGCATCTCTTCTGGGCAGGAGGAGGGAGGGGGAGTTCTAAGCAGGGGTCAGTCATCAGTGACCTGGAGGTGGAGTGTGTGGGTGTGGTGGGGCACACAGCACATGCTGGCACAGTGCCAGACCTGGTGACAAGACAGCATCAGTGTTGACACTGTGAGCCATATGTCTCCTCCAGGCTGAGAGAAGGCACAACAGTGGGAGTGGGGTTCTTCTAGCTTCTGAGCCTGAGCAAAGCGCATAGCACAAAGTGAGGGGTACTAATTAATCAAATTTCAGGCTTGAGAGTAAAAAAGAAAGAGTGGAAGAAACAAGAGAGAAAAGAGACAGGAAAACAGAGCAGAGATAGAGAAACAGACAGAGAGTGCATTGCTCAGATTGCATTACCTTAAGGATAATTTCTAATGTAAAGATACTAGTGAAGACATAATCTGCATTGCCTAGGATCTGAAAAATAAGCACAATTGGATTAGTGGCTCTGAGAGTGAACTCGACACCAACAGAAGCATGTGTGTTAGCGCCAGACAGCAGCAGAGAGCTAGTGGAGGCTCACAGAGGACAGGAAGGGGAGAGGCACTGGGGCTTTACCTTCAGAGCAATTTCAATGGTGAAAATGGTAGTGAAAACAATGTCAAAATAAAACAGAATCTGCAAAACAAAAAGAAACAGGGTGGGGATGGGGTAGGAAGGGAGAGAAGCAGGATGGAAGGAGAGGTCAGCGAACATTCACCAGAAAAGGAGTCACACTTCAGAACCACACTATATGTCACATGAGCTTTTCCATGTGGAGACAGATGGAAGCGAGTTAGAAGATGAGTAGCGTATACATAGCATTGGGTCCTGAAGTGGGGCTGGCCTCAGGCAGCTTAGTGGTGCCACAAGAAGTCCCCAGACATGTGAGGGGAGCTTCCAGGGTCCTGGGTTTGGGCAGCATTTGGCTGGATGCTTTTCTCATTAATCCAATTTACTTACAAACCCAAATCAGACAACTGGGATGCTTGTCAAAAGGACAGAGTAGTAAATTTTATTGCAGGAAAATGCAAAATACTTAACTCACTTTGGTGTGATTCAGTTGGCTTCTCATGTTGATGGAAATACTGGTGTTGTGTTCTTTGGGGCATAGGAGGGAGGATCCTCCAGGTGAGGACTGCCCAGACTGGGGGCAGGCTACATGGTTCATGCTCTATTATATATCAGGTGATGGATCAGAGCTAGGGCCAACTCATTTTGAAGAAAACTTTGGACCAAGCAGGCTGCAGGACCACCAAGTGGTTTGGCATGGGTATGGCTTTAGGTTGCTGGATTCTTCTTTTCATGTCCATCTGGTTGGGGTGTGACAAAGTTTTGAGGCTTCGAGATATAGCATTCTTACTCTAGTCCTTAATGTTGTTCACCAGAGCCTTGGGTAAGTCTCCAAATTTAGTTTTCTATTCGACAGAAGGTCACTGAAGCTCTCTTCTGTATAAGGTCAGCCTAATCTTTGGCAACTATTAGCCAGTGCTCCCCCTATCTGCTCAGTGATTAGGGCTGGTTAGAGTTTATTGGGAGCAAGGCAGGAAGTCAGAGGCTACTCTTTACTGAGTGTACAGGGAACCACATCTTTCAGGGAAACATCCATAGGACAATGAGAGTCCTGAACTTTGCCAATCAGGCCAGCCTGAGGCATTTGGGTACAGGTTCTTTTATTAGTTTATGATGGCTCCTACCAAAGCCCTAATCTCTTAAAGAAATGTTTATTGTGCATCTGATTATAATATTTGGAATTGGGCTCCTGATTGAGGTTGACAACAGAGCTGTGGGCCCAATCCCATCCTTGGGAGGAAGGGGTACAGGGGACAAAAGGGAATGCGTACATGGTTCCTGAAGGAGGTGTGCTGGACAGGGTCCTCCGCTGCCAGGGAAATGCTGCTGAGCAGAATGAAGAAGAGGATCAAGTTGGTGAAGATCGTGTCATTGACAATGCGGTGGCACTGGAGGCGAAATCTGTGTGGGGAGAAGGAAAGAAGGACCGAAGTACGTCAGAAAGGCCAGGGAAGCATCTCCTGGGTGTCCGGAGCTCAACTCCTTCTCTCAGCTTATGAAAGGTGCTTGTTAGTTTGGGAGTGGGCTCTTCAGCCTGAGGTCTTACTGCTGCAGGTAGTGACAATCACATCCCACTCCCCTCTGTGCCCCCAGTTTTAGGCACATCTGTATAGGACTTTGCAGGTATAAAGCACTGTCACAGGCAGTGAGCTTTTGACATTTTGGAGTGTGACATCTGAGACCTTCAGGAATCCCCAAATTTTCATATACTTCCATGACATTAACAACTGACTTTTTGGGGGGACTTCCTTTTCCTCACCATTAAACAAACCATTTTATAAGATCTACTTCATATTTTTATATATAGGGACCAACAGATCCCACCCAGAGTCGATGCTGAAAGCCTGGCTAAACCTACTCTCTGCCTAGGCAATATGCTCCTGTGTAATAGCTTCAAGGCATGCAATTCAATTCCACACTTCAGCACAATTATAAAGAACTACATTGGTGGACCCCTGGACACTCATTGGTAGTACCACAAAGGCTAAACCTTGAAAGTCAAGTGTGTCTTATATACTATCTCACCCTAACAGGTTAGGAAGGGGATATGGGTATTATTATCTTCATTTTATAGATAAAAAACACTGAAATCTGGGAAGGAGAGGCTGGTCCAGAAAGACAACTTGTAGACTGTTGGGGGTTGTGGCGTTCAGGGCTTGAATCCAGGTTTTCAGAAATCTGCTCACACACTGTGGTGCTCTGAGAGACCCTAGTGCTGCAGAAGCAGCAAATCTTGGAAAGGGAAAACTCTATGAGGCAATTATGCTTCATTAGAATGAGGAGATCTGCAATGATTATCCCTTTCAAACAAATAAATCCACTGAGGCAGGGTCTGTGTGGTAGGCAGGCAGGAAGGGCAGAGTTGCCTGAGAACAGATGCTAGTAGTAGCACTGCTATTGGGAAACTGCATTTCAAGCCAGTCTTGAGGTAGGGCGCAGAAGCTTGGTACTTTCAGGCTGAGCCAACACTCTTAAGAAGAATCTGGAAGAAAGCTTCCCAATATTAATATAGGTCCACAAGAATCTGATGACTGAGGTCACAATCAAAGATCATTATGCACATAAGAGGATGAGCTGCTAAGATGAGAGATCAGAAGAAACAACAAATAAGTGATTTAGAACCCCCTCCCAAAGACTATGTATACTGGACATATCAGATAGAGAATGTAACAACTATTTTTGAAATACTTAACAGAATAAAGGACTTGATCACAAAGTTGATGAATCAACAGGCAAAGTATTAGATATAGACAGATGGTTCTGGAAAATTAAGCAGCAAATGGAACTGTTTGAAATGAAAAAAAAGTTGGTATAAAAACTGGTTTAAACAGTAACATAGAGAAAGTTGAAGAGAGAATTAAGAAATTGGAAGGTATATATGAAAAAACTACCCTGAACACTAAAAGAGAGATAATGAGGGGAAAGATTTACAAGACACATTAAGAGGTAGGAGGACGGAATGAGAAGGTCTAACATATGTCTAATTGGAATGCCAGAAGGAAAGAACAGGCAGAGATTATGACTGCAATTTTTTAAGAATTAGCAATTCTTATTCTAATTTTTAATGCTGTTTGAGAACTAGAGAAAAATATAAGTCAATAACATTCCAAGCAGGATTAATGGCAAGAAATCCATATGTAGACACATGGTAGTAAATCTATACAATACCAAAGGCAACAGAAGATGTTCGAAGTAGCTAGATAAGGGGCAGATTACTTACAAAGGGATGATAGTAGAAAGAATACAGTATAATTATACCTTTGATATATTAAGAGAAAAATCCTGTCAACCTAAAATTGTATACACAGCAAAACTATATTTCAAGAACAAGAAATGAAAACAAGAACAAGAGATAAATAGGTCAAATGACTTTACCATAAAGAAACATGAGGGGCTTCTAAAGAATGTGCTTTAAGAAGAAAAAATGATTACAGAGGTGTGGACTGAGATGCATGAAAAAATGGTGAATGAGTAAAATGGGAAGTTGTATGTAAATCCAAGTATACATTGGTCTATATAATAAAATGACAATGATAATAATGTCTAACTTGTGAAGTTAAAAATAAAGGACAGGACTAAAATACTAATTAACAACATTAAGGTAGGAGGGTTGAGGGGAGTTAAAACAGTATAAGATCTTTCTATTTTGCAGGAGGAGGTATATGATACTGCTTAACTTCAGATTTTAAGTTAAATAGACTTAGTAAATTACTAAGGGTAATCACCAAAAGACTAGAAATAGAGTTTACATGTGTCAATAAATGGAGGGAAAAACAGACCCAGGTCTTCTGATTTGGAATCCAGGATACTTTTCCCTAAATCAGTGGTTGTTTGCACAAGTTGTGGGGGTTGGGGAGAGTCCCAGGCTCCATTTAGAGGTTGGAGGATGCTGGCATCTGGTGTGCTTGTAGCATGGAGAGAGTAGAGTCCCACGGTCCCCACCATTCTTGCACACCTGTTGTTGGGGCTGAAGATGAAAAACGCACTGGCTTCTGGCATGGGCACTGCCTTTTCCTTAAGGTGCAGCTCAGAGAGTGGTCGTGGGCGGGGGCCCACAGGCATCTCAGGCTCCTCATCATCATCTTCTCCTGTAAGAAAAAAAAGCACCATTCTAAATAACTCCACTAGTCTCACTAGGTTTTACCACTATGCTGCCTACTTCCAGATAGCTTCCTACCGACCAGAATCAAGACATCATTTGCATCTCTGAAAATGAAGGGTATCAATGGAGACACTCACTCTTCCTGTGAGCACTGCTGGAATCTTTGTTAGAGAGACTTTTCTGGCAGCACATGACAAAGGGGGTTGTAAGTAGGGTGGCTAGCTCATCCTGGTTTGCCAAGGACTGTCCTGGTTTTTAAATTGAAATTTCCACATCCCAGGAGGCTCCTCAGTCCCATGCAGATTGGGATGCTTGGTCATTCTAGTTGTAAGTACTAGGAAAGGTGATCTGGGAAGATTGGGGCATTGCCGGGTGTACTTCTCCATCTAGTACTTGTACTAGGCTGCAGGTAGCAGAATGGGTATGGCTTAGTTGACTTGTAATCAATCCCATCCTTGAAGGTTCTAGGAGTTTAAAATCAACACTCCCATTCCTGAAAAATACCAAAACTCATGTGCTGTAGGGATAATAGAGCAGTGATGCTGACCACAACAGGTACTTCATTCAAAAGTCTAGACGTTAACACCGGTTAGAGTAGCCCCCTTTTTCTCCTGGCCAGTGGCCACATTTACTGTGGACCAAAGGTAAATGGTTTACTCCTTGGCTTACAAGGTCACTGCCCACAGAAGGAAACTATTACATATCCTGTTCTGGTCAAATGCACTTAAAAATGTTTAGAGAGAGAAGGGAATAAGAGCATGGGCTCTCTGGCCAGGCCTAGATCCAAATCTTGGCTCTGTTTCTTTCTGGCATTTAGTCTTTCTGGTCTTAGTTTCCCCATCTGTAAATGGGATAATAGTTATGCATACCTCAGAGTGGTGCCTACACATAGCAAGTGCTATATAAATGTTAGCTGTTGTTGTTACTATCTCTACCCACAGAGAAGACTCAGCCTGCAAGTAGTGCTTAGCATCTTTCTCAGTCTGATCTCTGCCTGCTGTTATTCCCTCACAAACTTTCCACTCACATCAAACTGTTTTCTGAAGGCTCACAATAGTGGGTTGAATAATGTCCCCCACAAATTCATGCCTACCTGGGACCTCAGAATGTGACCTTACTTTGGAAACAGTATCTTTGCAGATGTATAGTCATGATGAAGTCATACTGGAGTCAGGTGGGCCCTAAATCCAAGGTCTGTTGTCCTTATAAGGAGACACAGACACACATACACACACATACACACATGAAGACAGAGACAGAAACCAGAGAGATGAGGCTGGAAGCTAAGGAGCGCCAAGGACTGCTGGCTACCAGCAGAGACAGGGAAGAGGTGAGAAAGGGATTCTCTCCTGAGCCTTTAGAGGGAGGATGGCCCTGCCAATAGCTGATTTCAGATTTGTAGGCTCCAGAACCGGAGAGAATAAATGTTTGCTGGTTTAAGCCACCATGTTCATGGTAATTTGTTATGACAGCCCCAGGAAATGAATACACTTACTATGTGCTTTCTCCTTTCCTCATTCTGTCTCCTTATTTGAACTGCTCTCATCTACTGGTGCAAGGCCAGAAGGACTCCCAGGTCAGACAGCATCATTCACCTGGCTCTCCTGAATACCTGGGCTCTTGAGAATGACCTTCCTGTGATTCTAGCAACCCTGTCAGTCTCCTGCATTCACTTGGCACTGAGGACAAAATACCTTGAATGCCTGACTTCACACCTATCTGTTCCATCTCTTTATGTGCTGAAAACCCTGGAGAGAGACACTATGTTCAGCACATAGTAGCCCTTGTTTTTTGATGATGATTACACTTTCACACCAACATCTGCTTTATAAGGAAGGGGACATTACAAAAGAAGGTCAGGTGGAGACTAACTTGGTTGGAAAGATAGTTACAGGACATTTATCTTAGGGACCAGTCATGTCTCTGCATACTCTCTTCTGGTTAAAATGAAGCTAGGTGGTGCCAAGGAAAAAAAAATGCCTGGCACAGAAAGTGGTTTTTATCAAGCAAGGAGCATTTAGGGACCCAACGCTTTTTGGGGGGACCAGCAGAATATAGGTATAAATCAGATTTTTATCCCCCTGGTGTAATTAGAGCTGACCAGCAAAGCAATTAATATTTTCACGAGGTGAAGCCTTTCTAACCAAACCTTGGTAAGTAAAAGAAAGGAAGAGTCTCCTTCTAAAGCAAAATAAGTAAAACAAGAGTTGGCCTGAATCACAATACTTATAAATGAAATTTAACTGAGAAGGATGTTAAATTCCTGCCAGGCTGTTTGTATTCTTTTCAGTTTTGCTCTAAATGACCCAACACTTTCTTATTCGTGATAATTTGGTAACAGGTAATTTAATGCTTATTTTAATAATTTGTGATTATAGAAAAACATATTTACTAGCTTTGTGGTTTTTCAAGTTCCTGGTGAAGAGTTTCGCATGCTCTTTCATCTGCAATAGGCTGCCTCACAGTTTGTGAAGCTCTACCCTGATTTCCATTCCTGGGGAGAAGCAAGTTAGTCAGTCTATTTAGACACATACCAGCTAAGTGACAGGCATAGTGCTTAAGAGGAAACTACTTCTGAAGGACAAACCCAAATCTGTAGAGGGACAAATCTGACGGGTGTGATGCTTTGCATGCATGTATTATGTGTAAGGAGAGAGATTGGCAGGGTAGGAAAAGTCGGGTAAATTTCATTTTTGGGGTTGGCAACTGAACAGCCTAGACTCCCGATCCCAGATGCCAGGGGGATCTCCATAGGGACCCCATAGGGATCTCCATTTTCCCATCCTCATTCTGGGGGTTTGGAGAAGTGTGGTTGATAAGGTGCTGCCACACTTTGGGGTTGCCACTGCTTTCCAGATGGCTGGGTCCAGTGCTCAAGAGTAAAACCACTTGGGGCTGGATGTCCCACTCTTGGTCCCTGGTGATCCTATCCTCTTCCCATTTGACACTCGTTTTCACTTCTGTGATTTTGCTCGTGGCCGATTCAAATAAAAATATTACTTCTAACACCTAGTGCCTATGGCGTACTGAACACAAAGCTGTGGTTCTTGCCTTTGAGGAACTTACAGTTTTTAGTGCGGCCCCAGAGTTCACTGGCGTGATTGGTGCCTCAAGGTGAGCTGTGTGGGTGGCGTACTGAGACAGAGGCCTGAGGATGCCCCTGTTGCTGCACTGGGCATCTTCTCTGCTGGCTCAGCTCCAAAACCTCATCTCCTTCCACTGCTCACTCTCTCTCCCTGACTTCTAGGCCACTAGCAAGTCCTGCAAAGTGTACCCCACATCCCCCCACTTCTCTGTGTCTGTAGCAGCACTGCCCTGGAGTCAGCAGCCACCACCTCTCACCAGGACCACTGCTAACATCCTCTCTGCCTCCAGTTCTCCTCCTGACCATCTACTGCCCTGTCTTCATGCAGCACAGTCTTCTAAAGATAATTCCGACCCCAGATCACACCTTCCTCTGCCTGAGAAGCTTGGGTGATTCTCCATTGCATCAGCTTAGATCCAAGCCTCTCAGGTGGCCTTTGAAGCTCTGTCCCACCTGCTCCTGCCTAGTCCTCCGTCTCACTCACTACCTTTCCCCTTCATTGTCTCTGCTTCACACACACTGGCCTCTTTGGTTCCTCCACAAACAGGTATATTCTGCCCAAGGGAATCTGCATTTGCTAGCCCTCCATCTAGAAAGCATTTTCCTCTCATTTCCATATATCTAGTTCCTGTGACTCATTCAGGTTTCAGTCCAAATGCCTTTCCTGACCACACAGCCAAAACAGTCCTGTACTACTGAGTAACTCGTAACACAGCTCTTGGCTTCATTACCTCCTTGCTGCTTACTGCCACCTGATGTTACCTTTCAGTTGATTCCCTTTCTTGCTCATCGTCTGTCTCCACACTGAAATGTAAACTCCAGGAGAGCAGCGGCCTTCTCCGTCTTGCCCACAGGTGTATCCCCGGTGCCAGCCACAGTGCCTGGCACACATAAGTGAATGACTACCATGGTTTCTTCCACCTCCCTGTCTGTGACAAGAGTATCGTTCTGAAACAACTTGCTTCCTGTCTAACTCCCAGACACAAAGCCCAGCCCAGTCTACCTTTCTCTGTGAAGGCTGGCTGTCTCTCCCCCACCACACTTCACTGTCCTGCTTCTGCTGGGACCCCTTGCAGCAGTTTGAGTCTCCCAACAGCACCTGGTGCTGTCCTATACCTTCTCTGGTGTCATTCATGTTTCCTTTTCAAGTGTCTCTGTTAATTTTAAGTCCTTGGTGACTTCTAACATCTGTATGTTCACTCAAATGAATGAATAGATTAAATAAAAGCACAACTTGGCACACTTCCTAGGTGAGTAGAGATTTCTAAAATCCTGTGTATACTAAGCTGGGAGGCTCAAACTAACTGTTGAGTTTTGGGGATTAAATGGGGAGGGAAGGACTGAAGTTTTACCGCTGGCCAATTGGCACTTTGTGTGAATCAGAAACAGGCCCCCACTCTGCTGGGTGTTCATATGAGGACAGAGGTCCTGGGAGTGTAGGCTGGAGCTCAGCCCCGCTCAGCTGCTTTGGCACAAATGCTTGAGTGTGGCCTGGATAAGCATGCACAGCAGCCTGGGGAGGGGGTACAGGCACGGCAGAGAGTGGGAAGCACCAGTGAGAAATGGGGCATGAGGAGGGCGTGAGGAGGGCCCTACCCCTTCTCTCTTTTGGAGTCTGGCTGCAAGGAGGAAGGTACAGTTCTCACCACTGCCACCTCCCCAAGGGTATCTTCGTGAAGTGGGCACAGCAGAGACAGATCAGGTTCTTTGCCTTTTATGGGTCAGAAGAGAGAGGAGCCCGTGGGAATGAGAGATTGACAAGAACAGAGACAGCAGGCCAAGTGACCTGGGGAGGAGTCTTTGGGGACTTCTGCTGTACCTGGGATTAGGGTCCGGGAGGTGACCTGCAGAAACAAGGGAAGGAGGAGCTGGGAAGCAGAAGCTAGTTCCTTGGAGGAAAGAGGAACATGTGGAGCCACCAGCTCTAAGAGCACACCCTCCTGGGGTGAGAAAATGGAAACCAGGGATAGAGAACAAATAAGGGGGACACAGGGAGTGGCCTTCATGGCCTGAGAGTGGCAGTGGCTGAGGCAGGACAGCTTCCACGGTCAATGGACCAGAGATCCCAACACAGCTGTACAAGATGCCTGTGGCTAAGAGAAGCTTGGGAAGGTCTGAGTCTGGAGCAGGCTAGAGAATGGTGGCCGCCATGACTGGTAAAAAGACACTCTACAAAACCTAAAGAATCCTGAGGAATTAGCGGAGTGTGGGAATAGCTTTTCAGTTTAAAAGCAAAACCATTCGAAGAATCCTCAAAGCTGGGTCAGCAGAGACACATTTCAATGGTGGTTGATAACGGTGACAATGTCCTCATTAATCTTTTTTCCCCTGACCTGCTTCTCTTTGATGTCATAGAGCACCAAAGAAGAGAAAAGCCATGAATATATTTAGATGGATGAAACTGGAGATTTTTGGCATAGGTGTGGCTGCCCCCTGCCAGGTAGAAGGAGCAGGCCTGGACCCAGTCTCTGCCAAGTCGAGTCTAGTCTCTGCCCCTGTGTGCTGTGTGCAGGGGGACCTGGGCTAGCTCTGCCCAGGACCCAGAGGGATTTCTTTTATCACTGTCTTTCTTTTTAAACTTTAAAACTATACACATAAGTAGAGAGACTTGTGTGGCAAACCTCCATACCCAGCTTCACGAGGAGTTGCTGGAGTATTTTAAAGCAGCTTCTAAACGTTCCCGACTCCAGCCATACACACTTCAACAGGTATAAGCTAGAACTATGATGACATCACTACAGTAGCAAAATGAACAAAAATGACTTTAAATCATTAGTTTCCAGTCCCTATTTAATTTCCCCCAGATTATCTTAAAAAATGTCATTTTAGAGTTAATTTGTTGATTCAGAACGAAGACAGGATTCCCCATTGCATTTGGTCAACATGTCTAGTCTGTCTTTGAAATTCTGTAAGAATTCCCACACAAAGAGCCTTGAGACTTCAGAAGGTTTAGTGCCCAGTGTATGGAAATACCCTTCTTGTTCTTCCTTCTATCCAGTCTCCAGGGAGCTGAATCCTCCTTCCCTTGAGGTGGGAGGTGAGTAAGGATGGAATGGTGACAGCCTGCTTCCCAAGGAAAATGGAAGATGGCCACCAGCATCCTTGCAGACAAGCCAGCAGAGAACCAGTGGTAGGAAGGCCCAAAGGAGAATCTAGCTTTGCTCATAAATGTGGAAGGTTTTTAGCCACTTAATGTGGTTACTAACCCAGATGTAGTTTAACCTGCACAGAGGATGAATGCCAGTAAAACAACAGTCCCTTGATTGTGTGCAGTTGACTGCAAGCTTGAAGCTGGTAATAAGAGCTGCAGTTCTAGGTAAAAGGAAGGCAAACCGAGGGTTTGCACAGGATGTGGAGTTTCATGAAACAGACAAGGGGATTCTGGAGGGAGGTCTAAGGACCTCTGACATTAAGCCCTCTCAAAGGAGACTGTCTGCCAGTCTATGTACCAGAAGATGAGAAGGCTGAGTTGGTAAGAGCTCTTTTTGTAATAAATGAAAGCATTTGACAAAGCAACAAGTGGGACATCTGTGGTGGCATCTGTCCTTGTACTCAGCACTGCCTCCTGAGTAAGGGCAAGGCAGAGTCGGGATTTACTATTATTATAAGTGAGCGTAACGCTGCAACATATGTTATATTAATGAATTATGTAAGTTAATGATTTTATAGCATAGGATATAATAAAACCTTAAATGTATATCGAATCCACCTTCCAAAGGGCATAGAATCAGCACGCTCATACACAATTTATTTAAAGTTATATTGTTATTATGAGGAAACCAGGAGCAAAGTTTTCTTCTGGATGATGATTGGTAATGCTTAACAACAGAGACAAAAGACATTTAGGTGCAAAGTGCTTATAGAGGGAAATTGGAACCACTGATCCTAATACATAGCTACTTCCACGTGGTTCTAGAACTTGGCTCTCTACCCCCAACCTCCCAAATTCAGGGTTAGGCAGTGGGATTGGTACCTGTATTTTCTGGGTTAGGGTAGGGACTCTTATCCTCATTTTCATTGGGCTGGAGGTCATCCATGTTGATCTAGGCAGCCAAAGGAGAGGAGGAAGAATCCAGTTAGAGACGTTCCATAGTTTGAGAGGCTTAGAGTAGCCTAGAAATTGCATCATGGTTAGTGGCTGAACTGTTGACTCAAAAATATATTCTATTATCTTGTATATATCCTTTAAGACATCAGCAGAAGGCAGGAATTCGACCAGTCTGCCTTCTCTTCACATTCCTAGCGTTCCTGCTCCATCTTCGTGGGCTTTCTTCCACTGAGTCTCTTTCTTTCCATTCTCCCTCATTTCCAATGGGTGTGCCCTCTTTCCCCCAGCAATGGCTGTCTCAGCTCCTGGAAGGAGATGGCTTCTTACCTTGGTGGTGGGTGGGGACTCTCCATCAGCTGTAATGGATTTCAGCTCAATTTTCTCCTCCTTGGTCTCCTCCACAGCTGGCTTTTCCACTATCTCTTGTTTCTTCTCTGGACTGGCAGTCCTGGCCGGTCAACAGGTGGAAAAATTAAAGGGATGTTTACTGAATGACAGGAGACATGAAGAAATCAACTACCCTGTGGTCTGTTGGGGACTAGTGGGAACAGATTCTCTGGGCCTACATCCATCATCCTTTACTCAGGGCACATGGCATCCTTTACACAAGATGCTATTGGGCTGGGCCGGCCATCCAGGCACCAGGCCACACCTTGCTCTGTCTTGTACTCAGATGGACTCTTTCAGTTTCTTGGCTGCTCCAGTCCCTGTCTGAATCAGAGAAAGGTTCTGGATCTGATTCAAGATTGGTTCCTAGAAAACTCTGCTTGGTATCCAGCAGATATGTGGACTAGACAATGACAGAAGACAATGAGAGCCTTATCTTGTTTTCTTAACACTGGCAATGATTTATAAAATAGCGAAGAGTTATCACTCAACTGGAATTGAATTTCCCTCTGAGTGGCTGCCTTCCTCCTCTCCCTATCCTTCATTCCCACCACCTATCATGACCTTACTTTTCAAAAGAGAATCCCCCAACTTCTTAGACAGGTGGGAAATAAAATGCCCTCACAAATACTATAATTGACAACGGTACCCACTTTAGAGCAATGCCTAATAATTAGGAGAGAGGACCAACTTACTGTGAAGCCTCAAACCCTCAAACCCAGTGCCCTCTGGGAGGGATGGCTGACAGAGGCCAGGATCCAAGCCTCTCTTTATCACTAATGGGAATGACATTCCAGAACTGGGACCCTGGGGCCCTGGGCCTGGGTAAGCTTAGAGGGTTACCTGGCCAGCTTCTTTCTCTCCTTCTCTTCTTCCTCTTCCTTTTGGGCAGATGTAAGGCTCTCAGCATCAGCCAGGTTGTCCACAGCAATGGCCAAGAACACATTCAGTAGGATATCTGTTTGTGTCCATTCTTAAAGAAAATGACCCTTGGCTTTGGGGTATTTGGTGGACATAGGGGGCAGGGAGGGTACAAGACATGCAGGGGTAGAGTTCCCCATAGAGAGAGCTCAATGGTGACTTACCGTGAGGGGTTCTGAGCCCAGTAGTATCCCTCCTCCACCCTTCTCCCTCCCTATTACCCTACTAGCTACCCATTTGCTAATGGGTCAAGAGCCGAATAGCTTGCAGGCTGGAGTGGGCAGGGAGTGAGGCACTCTTGCCTTGCTCTTTAATTGCTGGGTTTCATTATTGGTTTCCCTACTGAGATGACTGGCTGTAATTGACATTATAAACAGCATTGTCTCTAGCAGAATGCAGAATGCTCTTAAGAGCGGTTCATTAAAACTGGGCACTGCGGAGGCAGCCTGATATTTCTGCCAGCTCTTAATGTAAGCCTGCGCATACAAAGACCCTTGCGATGTCCAGCTGGAGCAGGCTGAATCTTGGGAACTCCTAATTGAAATGGTTATTGCCTTTTTCTTCTTGCCCTTATCCCCAACCTTGAACAGAAACACTGTAGGTCAAAGGATTGCAGAATCAAAGAAAGTACAGCTGAAAGGGGTCTTAACATTTGTTAAGTCTAACCTCCACCCCCAGACACCCAGATAATCACACCATTTCACATACAGGGAAGCCATAGAGGTGAAGGGCTTGACCAAGGATGCTACTGTACACCTGCCCTTAGTCTCCTGGCACTGTGGCAGGCTTTGTATACATTATGCCATTAAGCCTCAACCATTAAGCCTATCCCTTAAGTAGTAGGCAATAATGTTTCATCACCCCATTTTACAGACACTGAGGTAGAGAACCTTTAGTTTGCTGAAGTCACCCAGCTAGGAAAAGGTGAAGCCTGTCTGTTGGCATCAGTGTTCATGCTTTGGGCACTACATTAAATTATGATTTAAACCCGAATCTTGGGCCAGAGCTGCTTCTACTTTATCATCTGCCTCTGCACACAACCCTCTCAGGGTTATGACCAGCAGGAGAGACGACTGCCTACGACTTGAGACCCTGGAAAGCTGTTCGTGGCCTGGATCAGCAAGGACCTGTCAGGTCTGCTTGGCAAAGCCTGTCCAGCTCTGCCTGTGACTAAAGTTCTGGAGAGCGGCTTCAGAGGGAGGGACACTGAGCAGAAAACAGGGAGGAGAGATGAAGGTCATTTCAAGGATGATGGCTCAGTCCCCCTTAACTGTACTTCCTACCTCCAGCAGCAATAGCCCAAAGCATTCAGGGTGCCCAACTCCAAGTGTGTTCACATTGGAATCTATGTGAGTAGCTGTACATGCACAACACCAGGGGGCATTGTTCACCTAGACTACAATGAGACTGTGCCTCCTGGACTCAGGCAACACTGCAGCCCAAACTGATTCAGGAATATGAACTTACATCCCCACCTATGCCAAAGAGCCAGGCTTCCACCAAGACCTACTTCCATAGTTAAGGTAGTTCTGGGACAGGAAACGTTTTCTCCCCAGAGCACACCTTTCCCCTGCTTGCCTGGGGCCCCTGTGGACGGGCAACCACAGTTTTCAGCCCCAAGTCAGGACCTGCTGGGCACACGTATTTGGCATCGTGCTGCAGGCTGAGGGAGGGTGAGGCGGCAGGGGCGGGGAGGCAGGAGCAAAGGATACAGTTTCCACAGATGAAGAGGATGATGAAGTAAATACAGACTAACATCCCTGGAAAAGAGGGGCCGCCATAAGCCATGATCCCATCATACATCACCGAATTCCAGTCCTCCCCGGTCAGGATCTGAATGACACATTCCCACCAATAAGGGACACAGCGTTAGACCAACAGCAAACCCCAATACTCCCCTGCCCTGCCCCACTATGTTAACAAAAATGTCCAAAATCTCTTTTCCACCTCTTTCCCTCTTCTTGGACCCCAGTTATCCTCCTAGGGGCTTTGAGCTATTGACGTGGACAAGTCCGACCCTATACTCAGACAATGCGCTGGCATGATATTATTTGAGAAGTGACTGAAAGGGCTTCCTGGTCAAAGCATCTCCTTCTACTCATATGCAGTGCAAAAGATGGCTCCCGTCAGTCATTCCTCAGGGTCCTCTCACAAATGTGAATGCGTTGGTTGAAAGAGTAATATACTACTCCAGCTTTCCCCAACATTAATCATTTGGCTGCCGTTTTGAAGATTTTGGCAACACCCACATATTAATTTCTTTATAATTAATCTACTTTGAAACTTCAACAAGTGCTACTTTAGCTTTTCTCTAAACCAAAATATCTATGAAATGACAAATTTGATGGGCTGGTTATATTTTTCTAGGGGCAAGAATAGTGGGTAGCAAAGACAGAGCCCCATCACCCTCTCTTCCCCCAATGAGGGCAGTCTGCTTTCCTTTGTCTATACTTTGGACTTTCATGTAGAATTTATCTGAAGTTTCTATGGTTAAGCAAGAGCTTTTAAACTACTCAGTTAGATTGAATCCAATCCCCAATGGTCCATCCAACAGTGGAGTTTCATGGGGGACTGAGGGTAAGGGGAACTACAAGAACTCAGGACTCAACTGGGCATGGTCCCTCCATGGCTGATCTAGGCTGGCCTTAGCTGTCCAGTGCAAGGGTGAAGTTTCCCACCATCTTTTCAAGGCTCCTTCTTCCCACTCACCCCTAACCGTGCCACCCAACCACCCTCCCACTCATAATCCTAGCAGAGAAGAGTCCATACCTGAAACACAGTGAGGAGGGACTGAGGAAAGTTATCAAATGTGCTCCTCCGAGTCTGCATCTCATCAAAGTTGAACTTTCCTCCAAAGAGCTGCATCCCCAGGAGGGAGAAGATGATGATGAAGAGGAAGAGGAGTAGCAGCAGGGAGGCGATGGAGCGCACAGAATTCAGCAAGGATGCCACCAGGTTGCTTAAGGAGTTCCAGTACCTGAGGACCAACATGAGGGAGATTAGCATCCCTTTTCTATGCTTTCTTTAACATAACTCCTCATTCACAGACCCACTAGAAATTTTAAGGTAAATTACAACTCCTTTTCCCCCTTCATTGCTATAGTGGTGGTGGTGTAAACTGGGCTGGTAAGCTTATAGAGTGTGAAGCTAGTTAATTCAGTGTCCCAGGATCAGTAATGTGTATTGACAAATAGAGAGGACTCAGAAGTGAGAAGCCTGAGTTCCAATCTAGCTCTGCCAGTTGCTAGCTGCTAGTTGCAGTTGGGCAAGTCACATAAATTCCCTTCTATTTGCCTTGCCATTTGAGAAAATAGATATAACAGTAGCAATTAGGAAGATTACATGAGACCAAAAAAAAAAAAAAAAAAGCAGCTCCCCAAGCAACAAAATAAAGACTAAACAAATGGGATTATATCAAGCTAAAAAGCTTCTGGTGAGCAAAAGAAACCATCAACAAAGCGAAAAGGCAACCTATGGAACAGGAAAAAATATTTGCAAACCATACATCTGATAAGGGGTTAATATCTACATATATAAAGAACACAGACAACTCAAAAGCAAAAACAAAACAAAACAACCAAAAAGCAAAGCCCCAATAATCCAGTTAAAAAATTTGACACAGGAGATGAATAGACATTTTTCCAAAGAAGATATATGAATGGCTATCAAGTACATGAAAAGATGCTCAACATCACCAGCTATCAGGGAAATGCAAATTAAAATCACAGTGAGGTATCATCTCACATCTGTTAGAATGGCCATCATTAAAAAGACAAGGGATAACAAGTGTTGGCAAGGATGTGTAGAAAAGGGAACCCTGTGCACTGTTGGTGGGAATATAAATTGGTGTAGCTACTATGGAAAACAGCATGGAGCTCCTCAAAAAAATTAAAAATCAACCATCATACAATCCAGCAATTCCCCTTCTGGGAATATATCCAAAGGAAATGAAAACATTAACTGAAAAAGATATCTGTGCCCCCATGTTCATTACAGCATTATTTACAATAGCCAAGACATGGACAACCCAAGTGTCTATTGATGGATGAATGGCCAAAGAACTTGTAGTGTATGTAATGAACACACACTGGAATGTTATTCATCCATAAAAAGAGGAAATCCTACCATTTATGACAACATGGATGGGTCTTGAGGACATTACACTAAGTGAAATAAGTCAGACAGAGAAAGACAAATACTGCATGATTTCACTTATATGTGGAATCTAAAAGCAAAACAAAAAAAGCAGAACACCACCTAACCTGCAGAAAAAAGAGATCAGATTTGTGGTTACCAGAGGCAGAGAGTAGGAGGCGGGAGAACTGGATGAAGCTGTCAAAAGGTACAAACTTTCAGTTATGAGATAAATAGGTCATGATGATGTAATGTACAGCATGATGACTATGGGTGACACTGCCCTTTGATATACTGGAAAGTTGTTAACTGAGTAGATCCTAAGAGTTCTCATCAAAAGAAAGGATTTTTTTCCCTTTTCTTTTTACTGTATCTATGTAAGATGACAAATGTTAACTAAACCTATCGTGGTAATCATTTCATAATATATGTAAATCAAACCATCATGCTATATGCCTTAAGTTTATACAGTGATGTGTGTTAATTATTTCTCAATAAAACTGGAAAAAATATAATTCCTACTCTTAAAAAAACACCCTAGTCTAATACCTTGCACACAGTTGATAATGGTTAATAATTACTGTTATCACTCATGGTCTTTAGACAGAAAACACATTAATTTTTTTCCCCAAGAATGCTGCCCCCAGCCCAGGCAGCATCTGGTCACCCCTGTGTAAGAGAGGGTACAAGGTTTAGTGAGGTTTCCCAGGTTTACCCTGTCCAAAGAACTGGTTTTTTAAACAGCTTCTCTTCTGGAGATTCTGATTTAATACCTATAGTTTGGGGGCCAGAAACTTGTATTTTTAACAAGCATCCCAGATGATTCTGATAAGCAGGGAATGTTAGGAACTCCTGGGTTACAGGAAACCCATCCCACCCACAGGGAACAGGTCTGTAAGGCAGGGAGGTCTTTCTGGGAAGAGATGGGCCACTGGTGGGGTTCCATAGAGAGGAGCCTCCCAGTCCTTATAGTCACAGACCTTCTCTTCACTGTAAATTCAGAGGTTCTTCATTATAGCTTTGGGAAAATCCCTTCCTCTTAGACGAGAGTTGTGGGTGTGGGCTGCTAATGGTTGCTGGATGAAGCTTGGGTCAGTCAGGATAAGGAAACGCACTGAAGCAAAAAGAACACAGGCTCTGACTGGAGTGGCTGCAACAACAGAGAAATCTTGCTTTCTTAGCTCCAACTCTGGCTTGTCTGCCTTCCAGGTCACAGTCTTGACGTCCTCTATTTAAGGCATTCCCAGCTTATTACCAATATATGCAGTGAATTGCTTTTGCTGCTTAAAAGAGTGACATGAAAACCACCCCCATTATAGCCTTACAGCTGCACCCCCAGCCTGGGTACTTCTCTCCAGAAAATGGTTCCATATTAGGTGAAAGAAGCAGATGGGCCAACAGTTTGGATGTAAATGTGAACTTCTTCCCAGACTGGCATCTTTAATGCTCCTTTCTCCTTCACAAATTCAGCCATTCTATACCTCTATTTTGCCTGCCAGCCATACTTCCTCTGTTTGTAGAATAATAATATATATTTATTAGTATCTGTTCTATAAGTGATCTTCAGTGTTTTTCATTTGTGATAGTCTCATCTCATCCAAATAGTCTCTGAGTTCTTGAGGGCAAAGATCAGAAGTTTTTTTCTTCCATTCTCCCCATCCTTGTCTACAGATAAATTCTGTCCAGCCCAGTATGTGTGACTGGCACCTCAATAGGCTAGAGGTTGTAATATTTATTCTGCTTAAACAAGCAGTAAGAGAACCTCTCTGGGGCTAGGAAAGCTGCCCCACTTACACGTAGAGCAGTGTTTCCACACCTGGCTGGAGAGGAAACTGCAGAGGAGTTTGGTCATTTTGTATATACTGATTCCCATGCCTTACCCCTGGAACCATGAAATCATAATCTCTGGTGCTGGGGCTTGAGTGATTTTCATGCAACTCCTTCAACACTTGTCAGTAGACTGGTATTTAGGAACCAGGAACTTTAGAGCATATTTATAGCAAGACTTTCCAGCTGTATCAGAGGGGAGAGTACATATGGATTAAGGTCACAGATCCCCCTAGAGATCTTCTGTGTGTTCAGCTGTCATGAAATATTCTGGAAAAGTCTTTATGGCCATAGAGGCCATGTTTGAGGCCTTAATTTTCATGAGGCACATGGACATGAGGGAAATAACTCAAACCAGGCTCACAACTGAGGTTCAGAGGTGTCTGACAGCCACTGGGACCCAATAGGTTGCCAGGCAAGGAGGCCCCAGACTGAACAGACTGAACAGGAAGTGGAGCAGCTAGGAGGCAGAGAGGAAAGGGGATGGAGGAAGAGTGCCTGGAGTTCTGGGGAAGCAGAGGATATGGTAGAGAAACAAAATGAGTCAACCAGTGGAGATGAACTCTTTGGAAATGTTGGGTAAGGAAGATGGCAGATAGTGAGTGCCCTGGAGGGGTCAGCAGTGGAGCAAGTATGAGGGCTGTAATGGTCAGAGGGGCAGGCAATGGGTGGAGTATTAGACTAAAGGTGAGGACTCCCCAGGTCCCTCAAGGTATCCAGGGAAAGTCTGCACTTCTCTTAGTCAACCAGGGGTGGGCTCACAACAGGAGATATGTGGAATGACAGAACTCCAACCCCATCATCTCCCATAGTTTCTGGCTCAAGACAAGACCCTTGCAGTCACCCTTCAGTCTCTTTTGCCCCCCACATCAGCAAGCCCTGTGGCCCCATCTTCCAAGTGAAGCCTGAATCTGGCCACATCCCACTACTCTGTCACCAGCCAAACCAGCAATCTCACTTGTTGACGGGTTGACCTGCTTCAACACTTGCTCCCTGCAGCCTTTCTCCACATCACATACATCTCAGGTAAAAAGCCCTCAAATGCACCATACTTAAAAAAAAAATGATAGTAAATATCTACTGATATTTTAAAAAGGAGGTAGAGGTTTCCTTTACCGAATATGTCAAATGGATAACACAAATGTATGAATGATCAACAGAATCAGAAAAAACACCATTTTGGGGATGCCTGGGTGGCTTGGTCAGTTAAGTGTCCAGCTCTTGATTTTGGTTCAGGTCATGGTCTCCTGGGTTTGTGGGATTGAGTCCCACGTATTATTAGGCTCTGTGCTGGCCACATCGAGCCTGCTTGGGATTCTTTTCCTCTCTCTCTGCCCCTTTCCTGATCACTCTTTCTCTCTCTCTCTCTCTCAAAATAAATAAATAAACTTAAGAAAAAGAAAATCACCATTTTGCATTGGTAACAAATTCAGTAAAGATCATCATGGATGCTAAAACCATTAGGTGAAACGTCACTGGGGAGTAGGGTGTTCACATACTCTCAAAATACCACTCCATAGATTATTTGCTAATCACAAAGGGAAAGGGTACCTCAACAGTGGAAATCTGGCATACACCCACGTAACCAAGTTTCTACACTTGGAATCACCGATAACGAGACAAACTGATATTACATACTTTCTGACGCCATGCCATGGGAAGTACACAATCATCTATGTACGCCACTCCACTGCAGCAGGAGGCGCTGTTAAAATGTAAGTCACTTTAAACCTCAGTGCTGCTTTATGCTCTCGAAAAGCTTCCCATTGGAAGGCCTAACAGATCATGCGGAATTAGCCCCTACTGCCTCAACGACATCATCTCCTCCCACTCTCTCCACCACTATTCCTCCAGCCCACCAGTCCCCTGCTGTCCCCCAGCCTCCGTGTATACTCTTGTGCTGGTCCCTGCTTTTCTGCTGTCTGCAGGGGCTTCCCCCAAAGCTCTGTGCGGTTCACTTCTTCAGTCCCTGCAGGCCTCTGTTCAAATGTCCCCTCCCCACAGTGGTCCTCCTTT